GGGCAAACTTGAAAGCCATCAGGCCCACTCACCTGCTCGGTCTGTTGAAGGAGCACTTATCTGTAAGGCAGATATGGGACGGGACCCTCCACATCTTTCAGCACATGAAGCTGACTTCGCTATACGAGCAAATGAGAGCAGAGATGAATGGTGAGTGGGTCTGTGCAGGGGATAGCTTCCTGGTGCTCGTGGGAGCAGGAAGGTTGCTGCTGGATTTCTACGGGGTCCTTCCAAGTTGCTGGTCTCCCCCTGAGAAAGACTCTCCCTGCCGGGAATGAAAGTTTAAAAGTACGAAGGCTGTGAGAGCTTGGAGCTCTAGCCTCGGAGGGGATGGTGATCAAAAGCAAGAAGAGGGAATTGAAACATGCATACCTAGTTTTGTTCCAAGGCTGCTTTCAAAAATGCAAATTTGTGCCAATGCAATGGTTGCACTAGGGGATGATTTGCTCACCACAGGAATTTCATGTTTGCTTATGCATGATTTTTTCCAAAGAGGTAAATGCAAAAGAAAAAACCTACAACGAGGGCTTCCCTGGTGGCGCAGTGGTTGAGAATCCGCCTGCTGATGCAGGGGACGTGGGTTCGTGCCCCGGTCCGGGAAGATCCCACATGCCGTGGAGCAGCTGGGCCTGTGGGCCATGGCCGCTGAGCCTGCGCGTCCGGAGCCTGTGCTCCGCAACGGGAGAGGCCACAACAGTGAGAGGCCCGTGTACCGCAAAAAAAAAAAACAAAACTGCACTACCATCTTAATTGTTTGTCTTTTTAAAATGTATCATGGATCCCATTTTCCATCTGGATTTTGCTTGTGACTTTACCTACTGCAGAAAGTTTGAGGAATGCATATGTCACTTTCTGGCAGACCTGGCTGCCTCTGAGACCTGTAGAAATTAATAACTTTTGCTGGTGCCTGTTACAAGGCAGGCACTGATCTTAATGCTTTCTGTGCATTGGTACTGACTTTTCACACTCTCATAAGAAGGGGGTTCTGTTATTCCTGTTTTACAGACAAGGAAACTGAGGCACAAAGCTCAAGTAAATTGCCCAAGGTCACAGAGGTGGGATGTGAACCCAGGCAGTGGGTCTCCACATCCTCTGTGCTTGACCATGTACTGCTTCTCTTGCCGTAGAATGAGAGCATGAGTTCAAGGAGTGGGATGGGAGTTGGCAACATGCAGTCTTCCCCATCAGAGCTTTGGGCATTGGAGGTTCTGAGTCACAGAAATTCAGGCTTCGAGCATCTTCTGGGCAGGACGAGGGGATGGGGACTCAATTCCCCTGCATCTTCAGTTCCGTCTTCCTCTCCTCCCCTCTCCCCATCATAAATCCCTTACATAGGGTTGTCTGGAATAGGCAGGTGTTGAGAGCCTGGGAATGGGATCTAGAATCCCTAAATCCCATTTGGCAATCCCGGAGAGAGACATTGGCACAGAGGAGAATGACATTAAAGGAAGAACTTCCCTCCTGGCCACTGGTCCTAATTGGCAATGTCATGTCCTGCTTGAAGCTGCATCACAGGAGCCCCTTTTCCCCAGTCCTTACCTGGTTCCCACCTGGCCTTCTAAAGGGGTGGGGCTTGCAGAAGATACCTCCTAAGCAGGAGGAAGCCCTAGACCACACCCATCCCACAGCAATGTGGGAGATGACGTAAAGGGACGGTGGACAGGTCAGGTTCACTGATGCCCCCATCAGCTCCGTCTTCTAGGAAACATGGCACCGTGAGAGTTTCTGTGCTTGAATGGAGCTGTGGCAGAGGGATTTGTGACTGAGTCTGTGAATGCACATGTTTATAGGCACAAGTGTGCCGTCTTTTAGGGACTGTGGGTTTAAGAGTTCAGGTTTTAACAATGGAGCTGGCTTCAAAGGCTGGTTCCACGTCACCAACTGTAACCCAGGACAAATTATGTACCACGGGGCCCCGTTCTCTCTTATTGAAAACAGCTGCACCTGAGTTTCTAGGGTGAAAACTTACAAGGCGTTGGGTGCAGTGTAGATTCTCAATCATTTGTTCATCTTTGGGACAGTTTTTCTCTTAACAGTAGCACCTTCCCTGGTGGTTTCCAGATCCTACATCATCACTGAGGATGACGCCAGACGGGCAGTATCAGAAGTGGGAGGGTCTTCAGCTTCTCACTGTACACACCCTCCACCCCACCAGGACTAGTTCATCAGATCTGGGAGAAGGGGTGAATCTTCAGTTCAACAGGCTTCCATAGATGGCCAAAGGGAAGTGAGAGCTGGGTTGTTTTTTTTTAATTAAGAAATTAGATTTAAATTCCAGGCTGTTCATTTGGAACAGCCCAGCTCTTTTTTTTGTACTTTCTGATTTTTTTTTAAATTTTAATTTTATTGGAGTATAGTTTAGTTGATTTACAATGTTTCAGGTGTACAGCAAAGTGATTCAGTTATACATATATTCATTCTTTTTTAGATACTTTTCCCACATAGGTTATCATAGAATACTGAGTAGATTTTCCTGTGCTATACAGTAGGTCCTTGTTGGTTATCTATCTTGTGTGTATGTCAATCCAAAACTCCTCAATTTATCCCTCCTCCCCAGTGTTCCCTCTCTTGGTAACCGTAAGTTTGTTTTTGATAACTGTCAGTCTGTTTCTGTTGTGTGGATAAGTTCATGTGTACCATTTTTAAAAACATTAGATTCCACATATGAGTATATGATACTTGTCTTTCTCCATCTGACTTATTTTACTTAGTATGGTCATCTCTAGTTGCATCCATGTTGCTGCAGGTGGTATTATCTCATTCTTTTCTATGACTGAGTAATACTCCACTGTTCATATGTACCACATCTTCTTTATTCCTCTGTTGATGGACACTTAGGTTGCTTCCACGACCTGGCTATTGTAAATAGTGCTGCAGTGAACATTGGGGTGCATGTGTCTTTTTGGATTATGGTTTTCTCCAGATAATATGCCCAGGAGTGGGATTGCTGGGTCATATGGTGCATGGGGAGACATGGAAGGGGTCCTTTTAGTTTTTGAGAATAGGACTTTGTGAGTGGTTATGTGAAACACATCAGGGGGCTGGGGTTAGACCATTTCTCGGTGCTTTTCTTCCGTGGCATTTTATTTCCAAAATATTAGAGTGGCTTCTGTGTGCTGGCATTGCTGTGCACACTTGGGGTACATCAGTGAACAAACACAGGTTGGCTACCGGTCTCCTCCTCCGGGGTGGGGAGACGGGTAATGGACGTGATGAATAAGTACATTATAGGGTGTGCTAGGAGGTGACAGATGCAGTGGAGAGTGGAGGGCAGGGCGGGTGGGGTCTGCCTAAGGTGTGTGCTTCAGGAATCAGGTGCAGTGTTGATTGGGACCATCAGGCACTACTGAGGTGCTAAGATTCGAGCAGAGACTCGGAAGGGAGGGAATGAGTCAAGTGGATATTGGGGTTGGGGGGAGAGCATTCCAGACAGGAGGCTGGCTGCATCCAAGGCCCCCAGGCAGGGATGGGCTTTTAATGTGTGCTGTGGTCTTTGCAAAGTAGCATGTTTCCAAAGTAGTTGGGTTGATGAGGCTTGAAGATAACGATTTTCAGTCTCTTCAATTCCAAGTCTGTCAGAGAAATGGTTGGTTCTACTAAGACCATCCATCATTATTAACTTTTTTTTTTTTTTTTTGCGGTACATGGGCCTCTCACCGTTGTGGCTTCTCCCGTTGCGGAGCACAGGCTCCGGACGCGCAGGCTCAGCAGCCACGGCTCACGGGCCCAGCCGCTCCGCGGCATGTGGGATCTTCCCGGACCGGGGCACGAACCCGTGTCCCCTGCATCGGCAGGCGGACTCTCAACCACTGCGCCACCAGGGAAGCCCCATTATTAACTTTTCTTTCAGTCGGGAAATCTCACTACCCCATCATCACTGTTTTATTTCAGAGATGGCACAGGTATGGGGACCCCAAGATCCAAACCAAGAAGAACCAGAGATGCTGGAAGAAGAAACAGGTTTGGCTCCTACTTTGTGATGATTACAGACAAATTGCTGGACGGAACATTCATTTTATGGGGTCCACATTGGCCACCTCCTTTGAAACTGTCTTCAGTTTATAGTCTGCCAGAAACTTGCCAATCTGTTCTCCTGTGCTGCCTACTGAGGAATAGGTTACCATAAACTGGACATTTCCTCTGGGTCCCCTCCAAGGTCTGAGATACCAGTGTCTGTTTCTGGTCTTTGTGTTGCATTAATAGGTATATGTGTTTTTTTTATTTTTCCCACAATTTTTAAAGGCTGCACCCTATTTACAGTTATTGCAAACTATTGGCAATATTCCCCGTGTTGCACACTACATCCTTGTAGCCTGTCTCACACACAATAGTTTGCACACCCCAGTCCCCCACCCTCTCTACGAGCCCTCCCTGCTTCCCTTTCGCCACTGGCAACCCCTAGTTTGTTCTCTATATCTGTGAGCCTGCTGCTTTTTCGTTACTATCTCTAGTTTTTCTGCATTTTTTAGATGCCGCATATAAGTGATATTGTATCGTATTTGTCTTTCTCTGTCTGACTTTCTTCACTGAGCATAATACCCTCCAAGTCCATCCAAGTTGCTACAGTGGCAAAATTTCTTTCTTTTTATGGCTCAGTAATCCATTGTGTATGTGTTCCACATCTTCCTTATCCATTCACCTGTTGATGGACACTGACGTTGCTTCCATAGTTTGGCTATTGTGAGTAATGTAGCTGTATTTTTTTTGTATGGGTGGCACCGTGGAGATTTTTCACACGGACAAACTAATACCTACTGTGATGGAGTAAGGTAAGGTGCATCAAAGAAATACATGCTGTACTTGTGGATAATCCAAAAAGAATCACAGAAAAATGCAAAACGTGCAATGAAAAGCATGGATGCTTTGCCCAACCCTGGACTTCTGTGGAATCGACCACAGCCTCTCTTGGCCGCCACTTCGGCTGTTTATTTCTGTGTTCATAAGTGATGAACATATACTGCCATTTCTTAGGTTTTCCATCAGTTATCTGCTGACTCATCATGGCAGGTAAGTATCTCTTCTCATTTATTCTCCAATAAAAGTTGGAGGAACAGGGGTTGAGTGTCATGTGGATATAAGTCAGTGCTGAGCCATGTAATTAATCAGGATTACATGCTATGTTCATTTTCTAGGGCTGCTGTAATAAACTAACACAGACTGGGTGCTTAAACAATAGAAGTTTATTTTTATTTTCTAAGTGCTGGAGAGAAAATGCCCAAAACCAGGGGGTCAGCAGGGCTGTGCTTCCTCCAGAAGCTTGGGGAGAGAATCGGTCCTTCGTCTTTCCAGCTTCCTGTGGCTGTTGGCATCCCTGGGGTTGTGGGAGCATCACTTCAATTCCCACTCTGTGGTCACATGGCCTCCTCTTTTGTCTCGGAATTCTCTCTGCCTCTCTTTTATGGAAATACATCTGATTGCATTGGGCGCAATCCAGGGTAAGCTTCTCCTCTCAAGGTCCTTAAATCACATCTTTTGTCACATAAGGTTCTGGGGATTCAGATGTGGATATATCTTTTGGGGGGGGTCACTATTGAGCCCACTACACATGACTTTTGAGGGGAACCATTTTCTATTTAAAAAAAAAATTTATTTAGTTTATTGGGCTTCCCTGCTGGCGCAGTGGTTGAGAGTCCGCCTGCCGATGCAGGGGACACGGGTTTGTGTCCCGGTCTGGGAAGATCCCACGTGCCGTGGAACGGCTGGGCCCGTGAGCCATGGCCGCTGAGCCTGCGCGTCCAGAGCCTGTGCTCCGCAACGGGAGAGGCCACAACAGTGAGAGGCCCGCATACTGCAAAAAAAAAAAAAAAGAAAAGAAAAATATTATTTATTTTTGGCTGCGTTGGGTCTTCGTTGCTGTTCGTGGGCTCTATCTAGTTGCGGTGAGCGGGGGCTACTCTTTATTGCGGCGCATGGGCTTCTCATTGCAGTGGCTTCTCTTGTCACAGAGCACAGGCTCTAGGCACACAGGCTTCTGTAGTTGTGGTGCGTGGACTCAGTACTTGTGGCACTCGGGCACTAGATTGCAAGCTCAATAGTTGTGGTGCACGGGCTTAGTTGCTCTGTGGCATGTGGAATCTTCCTGGACCAGGGCTTGAACCCGTGTCCCCTGCATTGACAGGCAGATTCTTAACCACTGCACCACCAGAGAAGCCCCCATTTTCTATTTTTGTTTGAGGTAATCATTGCTTTGTTTTGTTTTAACTTTCTATGCAACTACCATTACATCATCCCAAAGTTCTTTGGGAAGCATAACACCATCAAACATATCAAGGAATCAGTCGGCTCCCTTGTCATAATTTCTAGACAGTTTCCAGAAGCCGCATATCCTTCTCCATTCCATATCGGTTGCCACGTAGCTGCCATCCTGGGACTCCATTTAATCTTAAATTCCACTTTCTTTTTAAATTGAAGTATAGTTGATGTACAATGTTGTGTTAGTTTCAGTTATCCAGCACAGTGATTCACATATATATATATCCACTCCTGTTGAGGGACATTTAGGTTGCTTCCATGTCTTGACTATCATAAAAAATGCTGCAGTGAACATTGGGGTGCATGTATCTCTTCAGATTATGGTTTTCTTCAGATACATGCCCAGGAATGGGCATATGGTAGCTCTATTTTGAGTTTTTTTTTTTTTTTTTGGCGGTACGCGGACCTCTCACTGCTGTGGCCTCTCCTGCTGCAGAGCACAGGCTCCGGACGCGCAGGCTCAGCGGCCATGGCTCACGGGCCCAGCCGCCCCGCGGCATGTGGGATCTTCCTGGACCGGGGCACGAACCCGTGTCCCCTGCATCGGCAGGCGGGCTCTCAACCACTGTGCCACCAGGGAAGCCCTATTTTGAGTTTTTTAAGGAACCTCCATACTGTTCTCCATAGTGGCTGCACAAATTTACATTCCCACCAACAGTGTAGGAGGGTTCCCTTTTCTCCACACCCTCTCCAGCATTTATTATTTATAGATTTTATAGATTTTTTGATGGTGGCCATTCTGGCTGGTGTGAGGTGATAACTCGTTATAGTTTTGATTTGCATTGCTCTGATAATTAACAGTGTTGAGTATCCTTTCATGTGCCTTTTGGCCATCTCTTTTGCCTCCCTTCTGTTTTAGCTCACAGAAGAAGATACAGAGAGAAGATGAGGATGAAAATATTGGTCCTGTGGGACAGCACCCCTTGGCCTGATGACCATATATATCTCCACAACACGGTGGAGCACAGGAACGCAGAGAGCTGAGGAGACTACTGCATCCGAGCGGGCCTGGAGCCCAGCCACCGACAGTAGCATTGGAGGACCTGGCGGGTGTTGGGAGGACCGCCCTGGCCATGAAGGTCATGCTACACTGGGCAGAGGGCATACTCTTTCAGCACCAGTTCTCCTGTGTCTTCTACATCAGCTGCCACAAGGTGGGAGAGACTGTGAACACCACCGTCTGGCCTGCTGGCCTGCTCTCCTGGGACTGGCCTGACTCTCAGCTCCCCATTGAAGAGTTCAGGAGTCATCCCGAGAGGCTCCTGTTTGCCATTGATGGCTTTGAAGAAATGACTGTGTCTTCCAACTTGTACGAAAGCCCGCCCTGTACAGACTGGTACCAGCAGCTCCCAGTGGCCAGAATCCTACTCCACTTGTTGAAGAAGGAGTTGGTTCCCACAGCTACCTTACTGATAACGACCAGAGACTGTGGTAATCAAGATCTTAAAAATTTGTTAGTGAATCCATGAAGCTTGGGGAGAGAATCGGTTGTCGTCTCGGGGTTCACAGAGGGAGACCGGGAGGAGTATTTCATCAAGTTCTTTGGTGACCTAGACAAAGCTAATAAAATCTTGAATTGGTTAAGAAAAATGGAAACTCTTTTTGATTCCTGCTCTGCCCCCCTGGTGTGCTGGACTGTGTGTTCCAGCCTGAAGTGGCAGACGGCAAGTAATCCTTCTTTCTGGCTGGCCACACAGACCACCACCAGCATCTACGCCTATTTTTTCTGCAGCTTCTTTGCCACGGCGGAGGTGAGCTTGTCAGATCAGAGCTTGCCGGAACAGTGGAGAGCCTTGTGCTGTCTGGCTGCAGAGGGGATGTGGTTCTCAAACTTCACATTTGCAAAAGAGGTCATGGAACAAGGGCATCTGGAAGCCTCTTTTATTGATTCTCTCTTGAGGTTGAATATTCTTCGAAAGGTCAGTGACTGTGAAGAGTGCATTTCTTTCACTCACCAAGGCTTCCAGGCGTTTTGGGGGGCCATGTTTTATGTGCTCTGGGGAACAAGAGGATCCCTTGGTGGTCCCTCAAAGCATCAAGAGATGAGGGTGTTCCTGAATGACGCCTTTGCTAACACAAACTTCTGCTGGCGTCAGATGGCTCTTTTATCCTTTGGTCTTTTAAATACAGACCTAGCAAGAGAGCTAGAAGATACTTTACGCTGTGAAATGTCTCCCAGGGTAATGGTCGAATTATTAGACTGGGCAGAAGGGTTGGAGAAGCATGATGCTGTCTCAGTCCACTTCGGATTCCTACAGTTCTTCCAGTGCTTATGTGAGACTCAGGACGAAAATTTTATGAGGCAGATTTTGAATCACCTCCTTGAAGCTGATCTCGACATTCATGGGTATCAGCGCCTCCAGGTTTCTTCCTTTTGCCTAAAGCACGGTCAAAAGTTACGTAAGCTGAGGCTCTGTCAGCGGTCCCATCCTTGAGACGAAATTAACTTCTGCCTTGGAAACTCTGGAGTGAGTAATGCAAAACCGTCCCTTCCCTAAGTTTCTCTCATCTTCACAGGCTCTGCCCAAGTTCTTCTGTGAAAAACTGGGGGTCTGTGGTTGTGTTATCAATGGTTTTGGTTGACCAAACATTCTAGATGAGCTCCAGTCTGTGAGAACGTTTTCCTTTAGGTGTCATGGAGGATTCCCTGGGTACCCAACCCATCTACTTAGAGGTAGATTTTATATCTCAGGCACTGCGTGTTGAAGGTGTGTGTGCCAGGCATTGTACTATAACACCTACTTGTGTCAAAATAATGCCCATAACTCAATGGAGGGGGATCTCTTATTGTTATTCAGAGATGAGAAAACGGCAGAATAAAAGCACAATTTTCTTAGTCAATGTGACTATTAAGTAGCCCAGCTCCCTTTCAGAGCTCCAGACCTTAAATAAAATGCTGTATGCCTCCCCTTTGAGCATACATTGGAGCCAGGGTGGGACCGGTGGTGTCAACAAAATCCTAAAGCTTGTTCTGATGAGTTTGTCCCTTTGTCCTCCTGGAAGAAGAAACTTAAAAATACTTGAGCCACTTTTGGTTCTTCTCCTACGACCTTATCCCATCACTGACACTTCTGGCTTCTGAGCTGGAAGGTAAGGAAACCTGACTGTTCTGTTACTTATTTCAGGTCCCGGGAATGTTTTCTAAATTCTCATCTTGAGACAGGAGCTGCTGTTCATGTCTCAGATCCTTTCCTGTTTAACCCTCAAATCTATAAGAAGCCCCAGTCCAATTTGGATTGAACAAGTTAAGATTTTGAATAGATGAATTTCTTTGTGTTCACCCACATTGGAGTATTAGTAAGATGCTTGGTTTGGGGGTCTGGGGTAATTAATGTCCAATACACATAGACTATCATTTGTCCTATTTGGAATCCGTAAAAGTTAAGTAGGGGACTTGATATAGGTAGCATTCGCTGTTGGGTCATGAGAGTAAGTGCCAGTTACTATAAGTGATTTTCTAAGGATCATCCCACTTATTATGAGAATTAATGCCCAGACATCAGTCCTCACTTTATGCGTGACCACCCTAAGACTTAAGGAAGTTTAAGACCTTCCCTAAAGTTCCTAACAGATCTTCTGATGTTGGGTTATGTCCTACTTTTCTACAGCACAGCTTCTTACTGCTTTTTCTCCTCGGTGGTTTTAAACTCTGTATATCAGTATTAACTGGGGTGTTAAACACCTGAAAGTACAGGCGTGTATACACAACACACACGCACACACATACAAGTACACTTAAGGTTGGAAACAACTACTTTAACCAGTTACAGTTCTGGACTATGGAGTAGAACTTTATATATCCTCCAGGTGCTTTCAGAATATATTCTTTGTTTTACTTCCCTCATCTCATCTGAGATAAAAAAATTTAATTTCTGACTGTATTGCTCTTTTATTGTTAACATTGAGAGCCTACTGCATAAGCGAAATTCTAAATAATTAGAATTCTAATAATTCTAAGATCTAAATATTTGCATGAATCTTCTTTAATCATCACAAAATCCTATGAGAGTTAATTTTTTTTTTTTTTTTTTTGCGGTACGCGGGCCTCTCACTGCTGTGGCCTCTCCTGTTGTGGAGCACAGGCTCTGGACGTGCAGGCTCAGCGGCCATGGCTCACGGGCCCAGCCGCTCTGCAGCATGTGGGATCCTCCCGGACCAGGGCACGAACCCGTGTCCCCTGCAACGGCAGGCGGACTCTCAACCACTGCGCCACCAGGGAAGCCCGAGAGTTAATTTTACTAGGCACATTTTGGAGATAGAAAAGTGGAGCACAGAGATTAAATACTAAGAGGCAGAGCTCTGAATCTGTCTTAAGTCTATTTAACTTTAAGTCTGAACGCTTAGGGATTATACCTGTGGTCCGCCTCACTTACGTGGTTGCTTTCCTCCATAAAGAATTGTTCAGGATTGTGGGAATAAAACACCTGGTGTTGTGCAAACTAGGCTTTTTTGGTTACACATTTTCATATTCCGAACTCCAGTGAGTCTCTTTTGTTAAGGTCTTCTCTTGCCTCCTGTAGATCATATTCTGGGTGTTGGTTGAGCTTTATTTACTCTCGTCAGCCTTCTCTCTCTCCCTCACAAAGGACAGGGGTTGCCGATTTCAGGAAACATCAGTGGGAGGACATTTGCTCTGTGTTTTGCAGCGGGAACATGAGAGAGCTGGACCTGAGTAACAGCAAGCGTAATACTTCATCTATGAAGGAACTCTGTTATAAGCTGAGAAGTCCAAGGTGCAAACTCCAAAAACTGACGTAAGTGTGAGACTCTCACGGTTTGAAGAATGCAATAGGAGAATAACCCACTTTTTTTTGATGACTGCCATGAGTTATCTATTGGTCAGAAAGTAAGCTAGGTACGCAGGAGAATAAAATAAAGGGACTTACATTCATGAAGCCACTAATTAGGCAAAGTAGATTGAAATTTAAAAAAAGGGCCATCTGCGGCGGCAGTAGGTGGCCAGTTGGTCAGAAGGGATTTGACCATTCTAGCGCACGTTGTTTTAGAGCCATTCGCAACTCACTTCTTGTCATGAATATGGCGTTAGAATTCAGTTAGTATATGACATTCCCTTGTAAAGGGCATCCTTTATTTCTGCTTGGTGTATTTGAAGCTGAACCTTTAATAGTTTAGGTATCACAGCGGCAACTCAGATGGGGGGTTCTGGTATCACCTCTGCAGAAAGTTGTACAGTGTGATTTTCTGAGAGGAAGTACCCACAAAACATAGAAGATGGAATATTTAGGGTACCACCGTGAAACTAAAAATGATGACTCAAAAAAATAATTCATCTCATGTTTTTAACTGAAAAAGGGCAATCTGTCTTGCACGAGAGATACATGTAGACAAACTACTTTTTCCTTAAGACGTTTAAGGCGGAGTGCTTTTTGAGCCAAATACGAAGGAATAGAAAATGTCTAGGGCATGGTAGGGGCAGAGTGTTTGAGAAGAGCTAAAGGTATGTGGAGTCCATGAGACGTGCTCTGTGTCTTAAGGAAAGGTGAGTCATTTGTGGTACAGCATTTATTCATTCAATAGATATTTATTGAGCATCTGTTATCTGTTCTGAGGTTATAACAGTGAACAGAACAGGTCATTCTTGCCTTCATGGAGCCTACACTGGGTTGGAGAAACAAACTTAAATAATCAGGATGGTATATGAGATGGTGACATCTCCCAAAGCAGAAGGAAATCAGTTCAACTCAGAAAGGGTGGGAAAGAGGGAAGCTTTGCACTTTTAGATAAGGGAGGCCCCCTCTGCCTTCCCTATCTACCTGAAAGATATTTGAGTAAAGATCTGTACATTGGATATGAAGCATAATTTGGGATTGAAACTTAGTGGTCCTGTAGCATGCTGCAAGTAGAAACGACAGATTCTCAAATCTGGCCCAAAGATAGGGAAGAATTAGCAGGTGGAGTTCGACCTTGAGGGAGAAGCCAGGGAAGAAATTAACTGATAAAGGACACAGCAAGTAGTACTTAGAGTGGAATTTGAGATGGAATTTGGTTAGATGTTCTGGAGTCTAGGACAACTAACTCTATCCTACTCTTCCTCCACCTTTCTCAAGGTCATGCCTCAAGGTCTAAAAATCAGATGCAGGCACTGATTCAACGATTTAAGAGCAGAAGAGTTGACGATGTTTTTCCTCACACTTCTGTGTGTTGAGTGAACCAGATCAAATACACGGGTGGCAGGCTTAAACAGCCTTTGATGTCCTTTTCCTTTCTCTCTCCCCCTCTCCCCCTCTCCGCCTCTCCCCCTCTCCCCCTCTGCCCCTCTGCCCCTCTGCCCCTCTCCCCCCTCTCCCTCTCTCCCTCTCCTCCCCTCCCCTCTTTCTTCCTTCCTTCCTTCCTTCTTTCCTTTCTTCTATTTTCATTCTATAACTTAGTTCTCAAGATAAGGAGAAACAAGTTCAAGAAAAAAACGAGAGAGTTGTTCTCACCAGTCCTCTCTGGGTTGGTGTGGGATGGGTGGTCACCTCCCTAGAAGAGTGTCGGCAGCCCCAGGACATCTTACATTAGATCTGGGGAGGAGTGGGGAGAAGATGGATTCCTGACTTCATACATCCAACTGAGCTTAGTGATCATATTTGACATTGCCTTTTCAACATTTTAGTACCATGACTCAAATCAATGTTTGGACTCCTCTTATGTTTTTTTGTTTTAAAAAATTAATTAAATTTATTTTTGGCCGCTTTGGGTCTTCGTTGCTGCATGTGGGCTTTCTCTAGTTGTGGCGAGCAGGGACTATTCTTTGTCGTGGTGTGTGGGCTTCTCATTGCGGTGACTTCTCTTGTTGCAGAGCACGGGCTCTAGAGCGCAGGCTCAGTAGTTGTGGTGCACAGGCTTAGTTGCTCCGCAGCATGTGGGATCTTCCTGGACCAGAGCTCAAACCCGTGTCCCCTGCATTGGCAGGTGGATTCTTAACCACTGCGCCACCAGGGAAGTCCCTCCTCTTATGTCTTGTACATCATCCTTGAGGTTGTGTACGTGTGTGTTAGAAAGGAAAGATGAGGAAGCAGGCTTCTCTCCCCAAACTTTCTCACTGCCTCTCTTCCTCAGGTGCAAGTCGGTGTCTCCTGTGAAGATTCTGAAGGAGCTTGTCATCGTGCTTCATGGTAACCACAAGCTGACCCACCTGGATCTGAGCTCTAACAACCTAGGAATTACTGTGTCCAAGATGATTTTTAGAACTTTGAGGCACTCAGCCTGCAACCTCAAGTATCTGTGGTAAGTCTTTGCTCTTCCAGATCTGTCCCCAAGATCACGCGTAGGTTTGATGATTCATTGGGAGGACAGGAGTCAACACTGCAGGAAAAGAATACAGAGAAAGACTAGCAAAGAGGGAAAAAAATGCATGGGTGTAGAGCAGTTGTTCTCAAATTTTAACGTATATCAGAATTACTCAAGGGGGCATGTTAAAACACAGATTCCTGGAATCCACCCCCAGGATCCAGCAGGTCTATTGAGGGGCCTGATAATTAGCATTTCTAATAGACTCTGAGGTGATGCCGGACTGTGGACCACACTTTGAGTAGCACTGACTCGAAAGGGCGTAGCCGTCTTGTCTTTGAAGGGATGAGAAACGGGGAGAAATCAGCTCTTGTTCGTGGAGCAAGGGGGTCTCTAAACAAACTTCTCACCGTTCTCCTTAGGGCTCCATCTCAGCCAGCTTTGCCTTCACCTTGGTCTTGGGCACCTTGACCATCAGCTTCTTTTGTACAACCTCCTTAGGCTTCTGCCAGCCTCCTCCAAACACAGTGGTTTTCAGCGAGGGCCAGTTGTGTCCCTACTGGGAACATTAGGCAGTGTCTGGACACACGCTTGTCTTTCAGCTTTGGGAAGGGGAGGACGCTCCTGGCATCTAGTGGGTAATTTCGTGCTCCTGGCATTGACCAGGTGTGATCAATATCCTACGATGTACTGGAGGGCCCCCTACAATCAAGAATGATCTGCCCTGAAGGTCAGTAGGAATGAGAAAGAGAAATCTTACCTTTACCCACATTATTCTCCTCCATGAAAATTATGTTCCTTATCTAATTTAACTTTTCCATGATTTTGGGTCCCAGATGTATGGCCCAAGGGACTGAGAGTTTGAGAAGGAGATAGGAAACCGGGCATAGCTGTGGCTCACCTTGCATCTTCACCTCCCACAGCCTGGAGAAATGCAGCCTGTTGGTGGCCCACTGGCAGGACCTGGCCTTGCTTCTCATCAGCACCCAGGGAACGACTCGACTGTGCCTGGGAATTAATCAGCTCCAGGATGATGATGTGAGGCTGCTCTGTGCTTCCCTGCCTCACCCCGAGTGTGTCTGAGAGAGACTGGTGTAAGTTCCTCCTCATTCGGTGTCTGGAAATGACCCTCCGTGGGGTTAGGCATTGAAGAAGACAGTGGCTCCTTCATTCGGGATCCAGTTATGTCGTTGAAAACTAACGTTCATGGAGCACTTATTCAATGTGCTAGTCATTGCTCTAAACACAGATTCTGGGTAGCACCCCCAAATCTGTTGAATCAGTCTCTGGAGATTGTGACAAGAAATTCAGTTTTAACAGGGACTCCAGGAAATTTTTAAAAGATATTTATTTATTTGGCTGTGCCAGGTCTTAGTTGCAGCATGTGGAATCTTCACTGCAGCATGCGGGATCTTTAGTTGTGGCATGTGGGATCTTTTTTTTTCTTTCAATTAATTTTTATTGGGGTATAGCTGCTTTACAGCGTTGTGTTAGCTTCTACTGCACAGCAAAATGAATCGGTCGTGCATATACATATATCCCCTCCACTTCGGACACTACAGTGCATTAAGTAGAGTTCCCTGTGCTATACAGTGTGTTCCCATCAGTTGTCTATTCTATACATAGTATCAATAGTGTATAGGCGTCAATCCCAATCTCCCAATTCCTCCCACCCCACCCCTTTCCCCCTTCATATCCATACATTTGTTTTTTACATCTGTCTCTGTATTTCTGCTTGGCAATTAAGGTCATCTATACCATTTTTCTACATTCTACATATATGCGTTAATATACGATATTTTTCTCTTTCTGACTTACTTCACTCTGTATGACAGTCTCTGGGTCCATCCACCTCTGTGTACGGCCCCGGGCGTCCCCGGGAGTCCCGACCAGCAGGACAAATCCTTGTGAGTCCGAGGAGGAACCTGTGGGGGTTGAAAAAAGGGGGAAGGGCAGGAGACGCGAAAGAATGGAGGCAAGACAGAATCCTGATCAAGCCTCAAACTTTTATTGCTGCGGTAGCTGTATTTATACACTGCAGAGAAAGGGGGGCGGGATTCAGAATGAGGGAAGTACTTGGCTAATCATCATTGGTGCTGCGTGCGCGGGCTTTCATTTTAGGCGCGAACTTCTATCTCAAAAATCAGGAAGAGAAGCAGGGTGTCGGCCATCTTCTAATGGCGAAAACTTCTTGGCTCCCAACACACCTCACTGCAAATAACTCAACTTCGTTTCTTTTAATGGCTGAGTAATATTCCATTTTATACATGTGCCACATCTTCTTTATCCATTCATCTGATGATGGACACTTAGGTTGTTTCCATCTCCAGGCTATTGTAAATAGAGCTGCAATGAACATTTTGGTACATGATTCTTTTTGAATTACGGTTTCTCAGGGTATATGCCCAGCAGTGGGATTGCTGGGTCGTATGGCAGTTCTATTTTTAGATTTGTAAGGAACCTCCATACTGTTCTCCATAGTGGCTGTATCAATTTACATTCGTACCAACAGTACAAGAGGGTTCCCTTTTCTACGCACCCACTCCAGCATTTATTGTTTGTAGATTTTTTGATGATGGCCATTCTGACTGGTGTGAGATGATATCTCATTGTAGTTTTGATTTGCATTTCTCTAATGATTAATGATGTTGAGCATTCTTTCATGTGTTTGTTGGCAGTCTGTATATCTTCTTTGGAGAAAGGTCTCTTTAGGTCTTCTGCCCATTTTTGGATTGGGTTGTTTGTTTTTTTGTTACTGAGCTGCATGAGCTGCTTGTAAATTTTGGAGATTAATCCTTTGTCAGTTGCTTCATTTGCAAATATTTTCTCCCATTCTGAGGGTTGTCTTTTGGTCTCGTTTATGGTTTCCTTTGCTGTGCAAAAGCTTTTAAGTTTCATTAGGTCCCATTTGTATATTTTTGTTTTTATTTCCATTTCTCTAGGAGGTGGGTCAAAAAGGATCTTGCTGTGATTTATGTCATAGAGTGTTCTGCCTATGTTTTCCTCTAAGAGTTTGATAGTTTCTGGCTTTACATTTAGGTCTTTAATCCATTTTGAGCTTATTTTTGTGTATGGTGTTAGGGAGTGATCTAACCTCATAGTTTTACATGTACCTGTCCAGTTTTCCTAGCACCACTTACTGAAGAGGCTGTCCTTTCTCCACTGTATATTCCTGCCTCCTTTATCAAAGATAGGGTGACCATATGTGCGTGGGTTTATCTCTGGGCTTTCTATCCTGTTCCATTGATCTATCTTTCTGTTTTTGTGCCAGTACCATACTGTCTTGATTACTGTAGCTTTGTAGTATAGTCTGAAGCCAAGGAGCCTGATTCCTCCAGCTCTGTTTTTCGTTCTCAAGATTACTTTGGCTATTCGGGGTCTTTTGTGTTTCCATACAAATTGTGAAATTTTTTGTCCTAGTGCTGTGAAAAATGCCAGTGGTAGTTTGATAGGGATTGCATTGAATCTGTAGATTGCTTTGGGTAGTAGAGTCATTTTCAAAATGTTGATTCTTCCAATCCAAGAACATGGTATATCTCTCCATCTATTTGTATCATCTATAATATCTTTCATCAGTGTCTTATACTTTTCTGCATACAGGTCTTTTGTCTCCTTAGGTAGGTTTAATCCTAGATATTTTATTCTTTTTGTTGCAGTAGTAAATGGGAGTGTTTTTAAATTTCACTTTCAGATTCTTCATCATTAGTGTATAGGAATGGCAGAGATTTCTGTGCATTAATTTTGTAACCTGCTACTTTACCAGATTCATTGATTAGCTCTAGTAGTTTTCTGGTAGCATCTTTAGGATTCTCTATGTAGAGTATCATGTCATCTGCAAACAGTGACAGCTTTACTTCTTCTTTTCCGATTTGGATTCCTTTTATTTTCTTTTCTTCTCTGATTGCTGTGGCTAAAACTTCCAAAACTATGTTGAATAACAGTGGTGAGAGTGGGCAACTTTGTCTTGTTCCTGATCTTAGTGGAAATGCTTTCAGTTTTTCACCATTGAGGACGATGTTGGCTGTGGATTTGTCATATATGGCCTTTATTATGTTGAGGAAAGTTCCCTCTGCCTACTTTCTGCAGGGTTTTTATCATAAATGGGTGTTGAATTTTGTCGAAAGCTTTCTCTGCATCTATTGAGATGATCATGTGGTTTTTCTCCTTCAATTTGTTAATATGGTGTATCACGTTGATTGATTTGCGTATATTGAAGAATCCTTGCATTCCTGGAATAAACCCCACTTGATCATGGTGTATGATCCGTTTAATGTGCTGTTGGATTCTGTTTGCTAGTATTTTGTTGAGGACTTTTGCATCTATGTTCATCAGTGATATTGGTCTGTAGTTTTCTTTCTTTGTGACATCCTTGTCTGGTTTTGGTATCAAGGTGATGGTGGCCTTGTAGAATGAGTTTGGGAGTGTTTCTCCCTCTGCTATATTTTGAAAGAGTTTGAGAAGGATAGGTGTTAGCTCTTCTCTAAATGTTTGATAGAATTCGCCTGTGAAGCCATCTGGTTCTGGGCTTTTGTTGGAAGATTTTTTTTTTTTTTTTTCTGTACGCGGGCCTCTCACTGTTGTGGCCTCCCCCGTTGCGGAGCACAGGCTCCAGACGCGCAGGCTCAGCGGCCATGGCTCACGGGCCCAGCCGCTCCGCGGCATGTGGGATCTTCCCGGACCGGGGCATGAACCCGTGTCCCCTGTATCGGCAGGCGGACTCTCAACCACTGCGCCACCAGGGAAGCCCATGTTGGAAGATTTTTAATCACAGTTTCAGTTTCAGTGCTTGTGATTGGTCTGTTCGTGTTTTCTATTTCTTCCTGATTCAGTCTTGGCAGGTTGTGCATTTCTAAGAATTTGTCCATTTCTTCCGGGTTGTCCATTTTATTGACATAGAGTTGCTTGTAGTAATCTCTCATGATCTTTTGTATTTCTGCAGTGTCAGTTGTTACTTCTCCTTTTCATTTCTAATTCTATTGATTTGAGTCTTCTCCCTTTTTTTTCTTGATGAGTCTGGCTAATGGTTTATCAATTTTGTTTATCTTCTCAAAGAACCAGCTTTTAGTTTTATTGATCTTTGCTATCGTTTCCTTCATTTCTTTTTCATTTATTTCTGATCTGATTTTTATGATTTCTTTCCTTCTGCTAACTTTGGGGGTTTTTTTGTTCTTCTTTCTCTAATTGCTTTAGGTGCAAGGTTAGGTTGTTTATTTGAGATGTTTCTTGTTTCTTGAGGTACGCTTGTATAGCTATAAACTTCCGTCTTAGAACTGCTTTTGCCGCATCCCATAGGTTTTGGGTCGTCGTGTCTCCCTTGTCATTTGTTTCTATGTATTTTTGATTTCCTCTTTGATTTCTTCAGTGATCACTTCGTTATTTAGTAGCGTATTGTTTAGCCTCCATATGTTTGTAATTTTTACAGATCTTTTCCTGTAATTGATATCTAGTCTCATAGTGTTGTGGTCAGAAAAGATACTTAATAGAATTTCAATTTTCTTAAATTTACCAAGGCTTGATTTGTGACCCAGGATATGATCTATCCTGGAGAATGTTCCATGAGCACTTGAGAAAAATGTGTATTCTGTTGTTTTTGGATGGAATGTCCTATAAATATCAATTAAGTCCATGTTGTTTAATGTATCATTTAAAGCTTGTGTTTCCTTATTTATTTTCATTTTCGATGATCTGCCCATTGGTGAAAGTGGGGTGTTAAAGTCCCCTACTATGAATGTGTTACTGTCGATTTCCCCTTTTATGGCTGTTAGTATTTGCCTTATGTATTGAGATGCTCCTATGTTGGGTGCATAAATATTTACAATTGTTATATCTTCTTCTTGAATCGATCCCTTGATCATTATGTAGTGTCCTTCTTTGTCTCTAATAGTCTTTATTTTAAAGTCTATTTTGTTGATATGAGAATTGCTACTCCAGCTTTCTTTTGGTTTCCATTTGCATGGAATATCTTTTTCCATCCCCTTACTTTCAGTCTGTATGTGTCTCTAGGTCTGAAGTGGGTCTCTTGTAGACGGCATATATATGGGTCTTGTTTTTGTATCCATTCAGCCAGTCTATGTCTTTTGGTTGGAGCATTTAGTCCA